ACACACACACTAACACAAATCTATCGAAGGTGGCCTGGCCTTGCTACATGTTAGTTGTAATATTTTTGTTCTCAGCTGAAATTGAACTCATTAACTTCCCATCTCAAGCATGGTAGGTGTGCATATACACACACACACACACACACACACACACACACACACACACACACACACACACACACGTCACAAAATTACATTTCTAACCATTTCTTCTAATGGATTCTCACTAGCTCTCCCTCCTTTCAAAGCAAAATAGTTGTCAGCCATTTTTTGTAATCCTCGTAAGGAGAGAAACTGGCCTTTACTGTGTGTGTGTGTGTGTGTGTGTGTGTGTGAGAGAGAGAGAGAGAGAGAGAGAGAGAGTGACCCTGTTGAATTAAAAAATGCACTGTTATTAAAGGCTGTGTCAAAGGCGATGATTTACAGAGGAGAGCGATGACAAGTCAGAAGAACTCACACTGAACTGACACACACATACTCACACTGTGCTCTCAGGCCTCCAAGCTGAGCAGTAACCTCCTCACCCCTCCTTCCTCTTCCTCCTCCTCCTTTCTCTCTCACTCTAATAAAACCTGTCTTACACCACTGATGTGTGTATAAGTGTGTGTGTGTGTTTGTGTGTGTGTGCACGCACACTCTGCGGCAGCACAAAGACTCTGTTGTTGGGCCTCCATCTCAGGCCTCCCTCATATTTTCTTTAAAGGTGCAGTGTGCCCCCAAGAATGCCACGGGAGGAGTGGGGAGTTGGGGCTGGGGGAGTGTAGGAGGAGCTGGTGTGTAGATGGGTGTGTGGAGGTGGCAGCATGCTTCACAATGCTACAGCTCAGCCAGGTCACAGAGAGAAAAAGGCAAGGAGTAAGTGTGAAGAGGAGAAATAAAAGAAGGGTCAAAAGAAGAGGAGTGCTTCTTCACAAAGTAGAGATGACAGTTTGGCTTTGTTTGCCGGTGATTATCGTGTGTGTGTGTGTGTGTGCGCAATAAACCTATGGTCTTTCTCACTTTGTTCAAAGTTGAAAGTTCACAGTTTAATTTTATTATCCATAGAAATCATAGAACTCAAAGTGCTCCAACTCCAATATAACACAAATGAGACAGGGAGCTAACATTGCTCCAGTAACTTGTAGATAATTGAATAGGAATTTATTGATACAAAGCCCATATGACACAAATGGAACAGATCATCAGTTTTTATACACTGTATGTGTTAAATGCAGTGGTCAGGTTGACAAGTTATTGAGTACAACAGGATGTCCTGATTTAAGGAAATGGAGGTGGTGGAACTGAAAATGCTTCTTTAGGTGAGTCCATTATGTTCTATTTTGAAACACCTCAGAGTGTGTTAGTGCTCTTTTACCACTGCTGAAAATCTTTTTAATAGTCATCTGTAGTTTAAGGTTTATTTATATTTTAGCTCATGGATACATGGGTAGTTTTGCTGCTGAGTTAACAGGTATTTTCTGTTTCAGTTTTATTTATATAGCACCAACTCACCACAAAAAAAATCGTCTCAAGTCATTTTACATAAACCTTAAAATATAGTAGAGAAAAGCCCAACAAATCCCCTTTGAGCAAGCACTTGGCGACAGTGGGAAGGAAAAACTCTCTTTAATGGAAGAAACCTCTGACAGACCCCGACTCTTGGTGGGCGACCTTCTGCCTCAACCGGGTGGGGTGAGCGGATAAAGAAGAGAGAGGAGAAAAGAAAAGAAAAGCAGCAAGACACAACAAACAAGCAAATACTGGGAGGTTAGTGATGCCACTAGCTGCTCATCAGTAACATTCATCTCCAGGGGCGAGAGAGAGCACAAATTACAGGTGAGAGGAGACACAAAGTTAGTGACATACAGTACAATGGCAGCATATAAATGCATGGAGAATGAGGAGAGGAGAGGTGCGCGGCCTCAGAACCTCATAAGAGGACCCCCAGCAGTCTATGCCTGTAACTAAGGGAAGGCTCAGGGTCACCTGAGCCAGCCCTAAGTATAAGCTTTTATCAAAAGGAAAGTTTTAAATCTAATCTTAAAGGTAGAGAGGGTGTCTGCTTCCCAAACCGAGACTGGGAGCTGGCCTCACAGGAGAGGAGCTTGATAGCTAAAGGCTCTGCCTCCCATTCTGCTTTCATAGACTCTAGGAACCACAAGTAGACCTGCACTCTGAGAGTAAAGTGCTCTGTTGGGATGAAATGGCACTATGAGGTCTTTACTGGAGGCTAGGCATATGCCATGTAGAGCAACTATATGGCTATATGGCACATTTCTGAGGGTTTTAGGCAATAACTTCAGTTTTTTCTGAATTTAGAAGTAAAGTAATTACAGGTCATCCAGGCCTTTATGTCTTTAAGACATGTTTGAAGTTTGACCAACTGATTTGTTTCATCTGGCTAAATATAGCTGATTATCATATGTATAGCACTGGAAATGTATGTTGTTTCCTAGTAATATTGCCTAAGGTAACCATGTATAAAGTGAAGAGAATGTGACCTAGCACAGAACCCTGTGGAACACCAGGACTACCGTACCTTTTATGTGCATGGAAGATTCATCATTAACACGAAGAAATTGAAATCTATCTGATAAATAAGATTTGAACCAGGTTAGTTTGGTTCTTTTAATCCCAGTGACATGTTCCAGTCTCTATAATAAAATGTTGTGATCAGTGGCGTCAAAGGCAACACTGAGCTCTAAGAGGACAAATATAGACACAAGTCTGTTGTCCATTCAGAATAGTTTGATGTTCGGTAATACCCAACAGTTGGAAACAATCTACTGCATTGAACATTACTTTTAAAAATAACTTTTAACGATACCTGCCAGCAAATAATAAGCAGTTTTTTTTTCAGCAGTCATGTTTTAAAACTACACTTGCCATCTTTACAGTAGCTAATATCAAATGTTCCACCTCTCAACTGTGCAGCACATTTGAATAAACTGGTATCTAACTTGACAATGGAAACCTTGTTTAAATATCTGGAGAATCACCTGCTTTATTGGTAGTTCTTGTCTAACTCATATACACTCACATCCATGAATACAGGCATACAGTAAGAGAGGAGACAGGCATCACCTCTGCTTAGTTGTAGCATTTATGAAAGCCATAAATGGCTCTTTAATATAGTGGTAATCAGGGTGGTAATTTGAGTGGAATTGTCCCTTATTGTTGCCAGACATGCCTCCCCAACTCCTGCCAACACACATGCATACGCACGTACACAGACAAACACATGCACTCACCCTTGAGCAGACAGGGTGTTCAAGGAGTAATTCACACCACATGCCAACAAACTGGGCGGTTGTGTTTTTTTTGGTGTTTCTCTGTGTGTGTGCGTATGTCTGTGGCTGCTTTAATGCTGAGGTCAAACCAGTAAATGGGAGGGGGTTCCTTAGATTTTTGTTAAAGTGTTAAGATATATGTGTGTGTGAGTGTGTGTTTGTGTGTGTGTAGGCATGTCCACAGCCACGTCCATGTGTGTGTGTTTTAATTGCGGTCTCAGCAAAAGTAGTAAGTGTGCTCGATACAGCTGGTTTTCATCACTCTGACTGCACAGAGAACTCCTCTCTCTTTCTGGCTCCCTCTAATCTCTCCTTTCTGTTTTTGTAATTAAACCTTACTTAATGTACCCAAGCTTCTAATCTGACAATTCGTTAAATATGTGACAATATACAGTACATGTGTGCTGCACTGTTTCATGGTGTTACAATTTACTGTAGTTATGAAATGATGCACAGCTACAGAAAAAGAAATCTCTGGTTGAGTAAGAGGTTCCATGGTAGAGAACACCCCTCATTCTGGCCGTTAATTTGTGGTGTCCACACACACACACACAAATGGGTACACACACCTACACACACACACACACACACAGACTTTCATAAATCAATATTTACTAGGGAACCTTTCCCTTTTGAGCCAGAGGAAGCAAATGTGCATCCTGCTGTCTCGCCTCTAACCCTCTGTCATGAGGCTGAGCTCGTGTGTGTATGGGTGTGTGTGAGTATGCACTTACAGTAAGGGCGAGGCGGCTCATGTGTTTTGAGATGAATGTTTTCTTGTTTTGTTTTCTGAGCCATTCAGGCATGCCAAAAAAAATCCTCAGGGGCTGATTTGTTTTGATGAACACTTAGGTCTTTAAAATGTCGACCAGCAATACAGAAAAGAAAAGAGAGACATATTATGAGGCAGTGAAAGATTTATACAGTTTGTTTAAATAATTTAAGGATGATGAGGAGGAGATATGAGGAGTGACGGTGGAAGAGATGGCAGAGGTAACACTTGGGGGAAGAGAGAAGGGATGAAGACAGTGAGCTAGAGAGTGATGGTGTCACTGGTTTGAATGGATAGCACTGGAGTGCAGAAATGGGAAGAGGAGGGGCAATGAAGAGGTGGAGTGGTGGTTAGTCACAGCTCTTTAGGGCACATCAGGGCAAACAGTTCCTTACATCACTCTGGCACACACAAACGCAGAGCAACTGACACACATGACGATATGCTGACACACTTCTGCCTCAGAGGATGTGGAAAAACCACTTTTCACCTTCCTCTGAAAATAGAGGTGGGGTAAAGGGGTCTGGAAGAGAGAGAGTGAAACAGAGGAGAAGGCAGAGGAAATAAGACTGGAAAGAGAAGATGGTCAGAGTTTGGAGCTAAAAACGGTTTGAATGAGTTGGGAGGAATTCATTCACACACACAGAATCAGATGCACCCACTTGAGCATGCTCTGTGTGCACTAGATGAACATCTCGGGTCAAGGAAATCGGATCTGACAGCTTGGCAAAAGGACAGGGTACATAGCGTGTGACCAGTTTAAGAGTATGTGTTTGTTTTTGTCTTTTATTTAAATCGAAAAAGTTTGATTGTGTATTATTTGAAACTGAACTTACATACATGCACATTTAAGTTGTTGAAAGCAAGTTACTTTTATTAGTGTTGTTGTTTAATCCTGAGCACATTTCGCTGTGTGACTGGGTGTGCATCACCTGATCATCTCCATTTCTCTCCTGTAGGCGCTCCAGGCAGCCAGGCAGTTCCTGCTCCAGCAGGCATCTGGACTCAACTCCCCTGGCAGCAATGAGGTCAAACAGAGCCCTGTGCAGGTCAGAGCACACACTCACACACCCACACACAGATGCACAACCCAAGTGGTGCTTTGTCAGAATCTGTATATTATTAAGCCCCTGGCTGCTGATGTAGCTTTCCTTTCACCAACCTGCCACGTCAACTACACTGTGTGATAAAGGCACATACTTTTCATTCCCTTTCTCTCTCTGTCTGTGTTTTTGTCTTTTTGTGACTACATGTGCATGCTATTATTAATGTGTCTGTAAGTGTGTGTGTGTGTGTGTGTGAATGAGATCCTTGTAGTGATTGGGTAGCGAGCTGTTCTCAGAGTTGAATTCCACAGTAAATAGAGAAAGTATAGATGTTAAATCACAGGTTTCATCATGATACAACCTTACATCCATTATTGTAGCCAGCAATCTGGTGTTTGTTGATACATAAATGTATGCTGCAACGGGATTGTGATTCAGTGTGATTTATTTCAGGGGCTGCAATCACTATGATGATGTGCCTATTGTGCTCCCCTAAACTGTTATTTTGTACAAATAAGAACTCATGTTGACCTTCCAATTCAACATAAACTTTTACTTTTGAGATACAGTAGGAAGCACTGACATTGTCACACATAAAATATATATATATACAGTCTTATGC